AAGATGAACATGGGCGGCGCCAGCAGCGCAGGTGCAGGTCTCCGGGGCCCCGGGGCCGGGTGCGTCTGCCCAGGTGGGGGCGGAGGGGAGCCCCAGGGCCCCGAGAGCGCGGCAGCGCGCCGTCGGGGCACCCCGATGCCTCCGCCGGCCCCGTTGAAGCGGAAGTGGCGCTCAGGGCCATCTGGGGGGCTCACCCAGTCGAATTTGGGTTTAGAGCCTGGGAAGGTGGTGTAGGGGGGCGGCTGTGGGGCCCGGGCCTGGGACGCAGGCACCGAAGGGGGACCAGGGCACCCTTCGCAGTCTCCATCGCCGCCCTCGGTTTCCTGAACCCCTCGAGGAGGTTCCCCGGGGGTCCGGGGGGCTCCGGGGGCCAGAGCCCCCTGCTTCAGGACCTCGGCATACGAGGCAGCGAAGAGTCCGCCGGCCCCGCCGCTGGCCCCGCCGGCCCCGAGGGAGGGTTTGGTGGCCAGGGGACCCGGGGGTGCCGCAGGAGACAAGGTGGGGCCCGACTTGAAGGTGACTTTACACAGCAGGCTCAGGCCTGGTTCTGAAGCCGCGGGCCGAGCCATGTCATCTCCCCCTTGGGAAGCCGCCCCTCCGCGCGCTCCGCCAGCCGTCGGGGCTTCGGGGCAGGCCCTGGCCTGGCTTTCGGGGGTGCTGGTGGCGGATGCGGCCAGAGCTGGAGCGATCCTGCGGCTCGAGGGCTGCTGCGGCGGCGACGGCGGCGGTGGCGGTGGTGGTGGCTGTGTCAGCGTCGGCGGCGGTGGCTTCCGAGGCTCCAGGGGCGTCGGAGGTGGGGCTGAGGCCCTCGGGACTGGGTCCTTTTCCGTTAGTTGCCGGGGCAGCGGAGGCAGCGGGCGGAGGTTCGGAGGGTCGCCTTGGCCGCGATGGCTCGCCTCCAGCAGGCCGCGGATCCGGGAAACCGCGGTACCCGTGGGTTTTCGCCACTTAGACGGCGCGGGCAACAGGGTCCCCACGGGGGGCGGGGGTGGTGTGGTGACCGTGGCCGCAACCGCCTCCTCTGGAGGGGGCGTCACTGGCGAGGGCAGTTCTAAGGTCAGGGGCAGGGGCGAGGGTGAGGCCTGGGGTTCTGGGGGTACCAGGAGTACCGGGGGCGCGGAGGTGCCCGGGAACCAGACGCCCAGCCCTCGAGCCAGGCGCATGGCTGGGGAGGAAGGGGTCACCTCGGGCTCCACCAGGGACGTCCGGCGGGAATCAGAGGCGCGGTCTGAGGCCTGCTCTTTTCGGGAGCCCCCGCCCGCGGACGGCTCCGACTGTACGTTCCCCATTTCCCACGGAGGTCTGGGACTGTAATCAGATAAATGTCTCCCAGTCAGTCTGCCAAGGCTGCGGGAACCCCACGATCCCTGGCTCTTCTTGGACTTAATCTGCATTAGTCCCGCCTCAGTCCTTCCCCCACCCCCCAATATGCCTCCCCAGTCCTGCACTCCCAGTCTCTTTCCTCTCCGGTCGCCTATTTACCCAAAGCCCCTCCAAAGCCTGAGGTGCACATACTTAGGCCCCACCCCTTTCATGTACTAAGATTCCATCACAGTTCCCTTGGTTGCTTAGCTCACACCCCCTACACTCTTGACCACGCCCCAGGCCCCCAGGCTAAAAGACTCAAAACTTGCGTCGTCGTCGTTCCCTCCCCCGAACCCCTTTTGGGTGGTTTCCCCTACCCTAGCCTACTAAGAGATGACACTTTCCTCCCCAGACTCTTGACGTCTGCCTCTGCCTAACCAATACTAGGTATTCAGTTCTTACCAATCCCCCTCAGCTCTAAACCTCTTCTCATCACCCACTCTTTCTCAGGCGATCGTTTGGATCTTTCCCACTTCCCAGAAGTGGTAGATCTACAAGTTCCATTCCTCAACTTCTTTTCCCGCTTCGGGTTTGTAACAATCAGGTCTCTATAACTCAAGGTTTCCAATTCTTAACCTCGAGCTCCGTCTCGGCTCCCCGACCCCCCAAAAAGGCTCCACTCACCGACTCCTCCAGCCGACCCAAGTTCAGGCCGCGGCCCCCTAGGCCCAGGGTAGAGCGGGGAACGGCCGTAGCAGAAAATAACCGAAAAGAACACGGGGGAGGGGAGGAGGGGAGGTGCGGGTGAAAGCCAGTGGGGCGAGACTGCCAGGTTGAATCCCCAAGCTCGAGGCCACGCCCCCTAGCCCGAGGCCACGCCCCCTGTGAGTCTGTTGAAGCCCTGTCCTTAGGAACCTGGATCTCCCTTCCAAAGACTGACGTCTTGTAGTCCCCACCCCCAGGCTTGGCTTCCTAAGCCCCACCCCTTTAGGATGTTTTCTCTTTAACCCCGCCCCTTGACTTAGCCCCGCCCCTTTGTAGTGCTACGCCCTTCCTCCCCGTCAGTCGCACCCTAGGCCCCGCCCACTGCGAACTCCGCAGCGTAGCTCCTCCTTCTGGACCATTCATGGGCTGCGGGACTCCGGAGGAAATTGATCGCTAAGCTCTGCCTTTTTATTTTATTTGCTGGTCCTGGTGCTTGAACTGAGGGTCTGGACTCTGTCCCTAAGATTTTTCTGCTCAACGCTTTAGAGCCACAATTCCAATTCTGGTTTGGTGGTGGTTAATTGGGGATAAAGAGTTCATGGACTTTCCTGCCACGGCTGGCTTTGAGCCTCGATCCTCAGATCTCAGCCTCCTGAGTAGTTAGGATGACAGGTGTGAGCCATCGGGCTCGCAGCGGCTAACTCCATCTTTTTTAGGATCTGTCTATATCTTTCAGAGACTCCCCCGCCCTTCCTCCTTCCACAGAGGGCCCCCTCCCATAACACACCTTTGCTTTGGACCTGTGGGAGCATCCAAACCCCTTCCTCAAGCCCACCGACCCCGCCCCTCCAGATTGCACCCTTCTCTCTCCACCCTTTTCCGAACTGCTCCACCCAGCTCCGCCCATTTGAGCCCAAACCCTAGGCCACTGCCCCACTTTAGCACCCTGAAACCATCCTCTTTCCCTCCCTGTCCCTCCCCGCCTCTTCCTCAGGGAGCCTTGGGCCTGATGGGAGTGGAAGAGTAGAGGGATCACGTCTGGATCCTGGAAAAAAAAATGGGGGCTGGCGGGGCGGGGGGGGCGGTTGTTCATTGTAGCCAATACCGGTCTCTAGGACCCAGCGGGCCTCGCTCTGCCTGCCTCGCTCTTACCCCTCCCCCACGCCGCCCCCCCCCACCGTCTTCCAGGTTCCCCCTCCCTCCCCCCAGCGCCCCGGCTCCCGGTGCCCGTCTCTAGCCCGTCTCTAGCCAGCAAGGGAGCCGGAGAGAGCAGGAGGAGGAGGCGAAGGAGGAGGAGGAGGAGGCCGCGTCGCCGCCGCTCGGAGCCCGGCCGGAGCCTCCCAGGCAGGTGCCCAGGGGCGGGCAAGGGGGCGGGGGCTGACAGACCGCCTGCCCCAGCCAGGGGGCGACCAGGACCCTGCTGCACCTTCTGCCCACCCAGGTGACCCGCACACCCCAGCTGGGAAAACAGAAGGTGATGGGGTCCCTAAAGTACGCGGCAGCCATTTGGGGGTACCAGTCTCCATTTAGGGGTGTGTGTGGTGGGGGTCTTACACTCCCTTTGAAGACTCCCATTCACAAAATTTCATCCTGGCCCCTCTCCATTAAGGGAACTCTGAGGACCACTTCCCCAGGAGGCGGAGGGGGGGGGACGGAGATTTATTTGTGGGGAGCGTAGGGCATCCTGGGATCCTGATGCCCCATCCCAGTTAGGCCCTGGGTGGTGGGGAGGGAGGGGAGGAAGCCCCTGCCCTCTTTCAGTGCTTCACCTGTTGTCGGGGGAGGCGGGCGGACAAAGGAAGCAGTGTCACGTGACTGCTCATTCACAAAATCCCATCCCATTGAGAAAAAGGGGGCTGGGGGCGCTGCGGCCGCCCCTTCCTCTCCCAGAGGGCTGGGGAAACCCGGCAGCCTGCAGGTGGGGGAGGGGGCTAGAGCTTGTGGCTGGGTCCCCTAAAGGTTGGGACGTCTGGGTCCCCGTGTTTGGGTAGCAGTGAGGTGAGTGGGGGGGGTGCTGGGCGCTAATCGTGATTACTGGGCGGAGGACTCTGTCCTCTGAGCTGGGGGGCGGGGTAAAATGCTTCTGAAGGATGCTGGGGGAATTATGGGGGGGGAAGGAATCAACCCCCCACCTCCCCAATCTCGGACACACACCATCTCTCCTTTTTTTTTTTTTTTTCTTTGCTTTCTTCGGCCCGGGACCCGAGAAAGCAGCTTTGATTTTTTTTGTGAATGAAAACGCTCGTTGGATCTCTTCAGTTTCTGGCTTCCTCAGCCAGCCTCCATCTCCTCCCCCCCTCTCTCTTTCTCTTTCTCTCTCTCGGCCTCTCTTTCTGGCCATTTCTCTTCCCTGCTTCCCTGCCCATCTCCTGGTTGCTGGGTGACTCAGTGAGCTTTGCATCCGGTCTCATTCATAAATCCGGGAAGGGGTGGGGTGGGGTGGGGGGGAAAGAGAGCCAAGCTTTTCCACCCAGCTTAGTGGCCTGGGTGACAGGGTGCAGGGACAGCGCTGGGGTGGGGGGTGGGGAACTGGTGCTGTAGTTGATGGGCTCAGGGAAAATACATATGCGCAGGAACCCAGCTGTGTGTGTTGGGGGGGATGATGGGTGGGGCTGTGGGTATGTGCTGACTGAGGAGAGAGGGTTGAGGGGATGAGCTGGAGGAGGAGGGGAGGTGGCAAACCTAGACTCTGGGGGCTGAGGGTGAGAAAGATGGGGGAAAGGAGGGTCTGGCCAGGGAAGGTAGCCCTGGGGGAAGAAGGCAGATAGGAGAGAGATGTCAGAGGAAGAAAGAAACCATGCCAGAAGAAAGGGGGCATGAGGGGGAAATGGTGGGTATTGTGGCTGAGGGTGCTCTGGGCCCGGATGTGAGAGATGAAGATGGAGGGAGGGAGGGAAGGAACACTGAAGGAGGGAGCAGGATTTGAATTCACAGACTGTTGTCCTTGTCTTCTCCCATGTCCTCTAGGTACATGGTGCGGGTCCGAGCCGTGGTCATGGCCCGAGATGACTCCAGTGGGGGCTGGCTTCCTGTGGGGGGCGGGGGCCTCAGCCAGGTGAGCGTATGTCGGGTCCGAGGGGCCAGGCCCGAGGGGGGGGCCCGCCAGGGGCACTACGTCATCCACGGGGAGCGCCTCCGGGACCAGAAAGTGAGCCACCCTGGGGCGTGAGGGTGGGGTGTGACCTTTGGGGGAGGCTGGAACAGGGCTGGGGGTCTAGAGGGCAGGTCAGATTGTCTTCTCATCTGAGACTCAAACTGGGATGGAGGGGGTGGAATTTGGTAAAGAATCCTGTCCTAAAGATGGGCCTTGGGGAGGGGTCTATTGGGGGTGCTAAGCAGGTCTGGGCCACTGCCTCTTCTTGCTATTCTGTCACCACAGCCTCCTTAGTGATTTGCTCTGCTCCCTTCCTGCTCCCCCTTCCATCCCAGTTGGTCCTGCCTGGGCCCTGCTCACACCTGACTCAGGCCATTTCCCTGCTCAGCTCTGAAGCCTTCCTGGGCTTCCTCTTCAAGATCATCACTTCCCCCCCTCCACGTCCCCGCATCCACCAAGTTGGCCCCTGTCTGCCCCAAAGCCTGATGGAAGGCATTTGATTTGGGGGGAGGGCAGTCCTTCTTAGAAGTGTCTAATATCAGTTGCCAATTTTCTGTGTGGTTTCAGCAGGGGTAAACTGGCTTTCTTTTGGACACCAATCTGGAGAGATGAGATAGAAGTTTCAGCTGGGGATGTAGTAGGAAACTTTGAATTGTTTGACAAGACTTGGGGGAGGTAGTGTTTAAGAGTAGGAGTCATTAGGGAGAAGATGAGAGGGGACAGGGATGTGGACCAGCATTGAGGGGGGATTGTGGAAATACAATAAGAGCAGTCAGGAAATGCTTGAGGCCAGAAGTATGGAGAGTATTCTGCCTGCTGGGTTATCTAGAAGGAGCAGGCAGGCATTCAGTAAGATTTGGAGTTCCTTACTAGGGCATCAGAAAAGGATCAAAGGACAAGAGGAAAAAGTAGAGGATGATCAGAGATCCATTTCATAAAATTAGGGTGCCGTATTGGGGTGACAAGGAAGGCTCAGGGGTACATGTGGGAGATGAAGTTGGTGGGGGTCCTGTAGAATGCAGAAAAGGTTAGCATTAGGGAAAGTCATGGCTGGGGAAGGGGATGTCTGAGTTGTTTCCCTTCCTGCCTCTCAGATCACCTTAGAGTGTACCCTAAGGCCAGGCTTGGTTTATAACAAAGTGAACCCCATCTTTCACCACTGGAGCCTGGGCGACTGCAAGTTTG